CTCTCTCCTCGCCCCTCGCCTCCCTATCCTCGCTTCTGGTTTCTCTGTGCTCGCTCCTCCTCGCTCCCTCCTCTCTCCCGGCCCCCCGCTGCTCCCTCCTGGCTACTGGCGCCAGCCTCCTCTCTCCTCTTCGGCTCTCCCTTATCCCTTCGCCTCTCTCTCTCTCTCTCTCTCGCTCTCTCTGTCTTCATGTATTTAGTTACTTCTCTTTTGTCCCCAGCCTCCTATGGTTGGGTACTCGTTTTGAATAGAGCAGTGTGGTCGCCCCATCCTCCTCCTCCTCCTCCTCCTCCTCCTCCTCCTCCTCCTCCTCCTCCTCCTCCTCCTCCTCCTCCTCCTCCTCCCCTCTCCTCCCCTCCTCCTCTCTTGTTTCCTGTGTTCCCCTCTCCTCTTCTCTCGTGCCGTCGGGCTGCGATCTGCGCAACTATCGCCACTTTCGTGGGTTCCTGGGAGGCCCAGCGGAGGTACGTCCCACGCGGATCACCTCGGGACCTCGCGGTGCCCTGGGGGTTGCGATCTGCGCAATTGTCGCCATTTTCGTGGGCTCCTGGGAGGCCCAGCGGAGGTACGTCTCACGCGGATCGCCTCGGGACCTCGCGGCGCCTTGGGGCTTGCGATCTGCGCAATTGTCGCCATTTTCGTGGGCTCCTGGGAGGCCCAGCGGAGGTACGTCCCACGCGGATCACCTCGGGACCTCGCGGTGCCTTGGGGGCTGCGATCTGCGCAATTGTAGCCGTGTTCGTGGGCTCTTGGGAGGCCCAGCAGAGGTACGCCACACGCGGATCACCTCGGGACCTCGCGGTGCCCTGGGGGTTGCGATCTGCGCAATTGTCGCCACTTTCGTGGGCTCTTGGGAGGCCCAGCGGAGGTACGTCCCACGCGGATCACGTCGGGACCTCGCGGTGCCCTGGGGGCTGCGATCTGCGCAATTGTCGCCACTTTCGTGGGTTCCTGGGAGGCCCAGCGGAGGTACGTCCCACGCGGATCACCTCGGGACCTCGCGGTGCCCTGGGGGTTGCGATCTGCGCAGTTGTCGCCACTTTCGTGGGCTCCTGGGAGGCCCAGCGGGGGTACGACCCAGGCGGATCACCTCGGGACCTCGCGGTGCCCTGGGGGCTGCGATCTGCGCAATTGTCGCCATTTTCGCGGGCTCCTGGGAGGCCCAGCGGAGGTACGTCCCACGCGGATCGCCTCGGGACCTCGCAGCGCCTTGGGGGCTGCGATCTGCGCAATTGTCGCCGTTTTCGTGGGCTCTCGGGGGGCCCAGCGGATGTGCGTCCCACGCGGATCACCTCGGGACCTCGCGGTGGCTTGGGGGCTTGCGATCTGCGCAATTGTCGCCACTTTCGTGGGCTCCTGGGAGGCCCAGCGGAGGTACGTCCCACGCGGATCACCTCGGGACCTCGCGTTGCCTTGGGGGCTGCGATCTGCGCAATTGTCGCCGTTTTCGTGGGCTCTTGGGGGGCCCAGCGGATGTGCGTCCCGGAGGCCCAGCGGAGGTGGGTCCCACGCGGATCGCCTCGGGACCTCGCGGCGCCCTGGGGTTGCGATCTGCGCAATTGTCGCCACTTTCGTGGGCTCCTGGGAGGCCCAGCGGAGGTACGTCCCACGCGGGTCACCTCGGGACCTCGCGGTGCCCTGGGGGTTGCGATCTGCGCAATTGTCGCCACTTTCGTGGGCTCTTGGGAGGCCCAGCGGAGGTACTTCCCACGCGGATCACCTCGGGACCTCGCGGTGCCCTGGGGGCTGCGATCTGCGCAATTGTAGCCATGTTCGTGGGCTCCTGGGAGGCCCAGCGGTGGTACGTCCCACGCTGATCACCTCGTGACCTCGCGGTGCCCTGGGGGCTGCGATCTGCGCAATTGTCGCAATTTTCGTGGGCTCTTGGGAGGCCCAGCGGAGGTACGTCCCACGCGGATCACCTCGGGACCTCGCGGTGCCCTGGGGGCTGCGATCTGCGCAATTGTCGCCATTTTCGTGGGCTCCTGGAAGGCCCAGCGGAGGTGGGTCCCACGCGGATCACCTCGAGACCTCGCGGTGCCCTGGGGGCTTGCGATCTGCGCAATTGTCGCCACTTTCGTGGGCTCCTGGGATGCCCAGCGGAGGTACGTCCCACGCGGATCACCTCGGGACCTCGCGGTGCCTTGGGGGCTTGCGATCTGCGCAATTGTCGCCATTTTCGTGGGCTCCTGGGTGGGAGCCCCAGCGGAGATGGGTCCCACGCGGATCACCTCGGGACCTCGCGGTGCCCTGGGGGCTGCGATCTGCGCAATTGTCGCCACTTTCGTGGGCTCCTGGGATGCCCAGCGGAGGTACGTCCCACGCGGATCACCTCGGGACCTCGCCGCCCTCTGGGGGGCTTGCGATCTGCGCAATTGTCGCCACTTTCGTGGGCCCAAGGTCGCCGCCTTGGCTCAAGGGGCCCCACGGTGGCTCAAGCGTCTAGGCGCGAGAGTTTCCCGCGCGCGCTCCCTCCACCCCTCCCTCCCGCATGGTGCCTCTCGTGCGGCTGCTGCGATGCTGGGTAGTCATCGCAAGCTGTACCCTGGCTGTTGCTGCTGGCGGCCTGCCCCGGGGAGGGCGCAGGGCATCCCAGCCGCAGCATGCGGACGCGCCCCCGACACGACACAGATTCGCTGGTTCTGTTGCGCGACGCCGGCAGCTCCGGCTTCTCGCGGCTGGAAGGCTCCAATTTTGGAGAGAGGAGCGCTTCAAGTACGTCATGGAGACGCCGCCCCCGCTCGCGCACGGCCAGAGGCGCTTCTACCTGGCGACGTGCCTTCTAGCACATCGTGGGCTGCATGCCGGAGAATCCGAGAACCACAGTTTTCCACTTGAGATCTCGTGGGACACCTACTCGGTCCTCGAAGCGCTGCGGCGTGGCTGGGCTGATGCGAGCTGCGCTCCTCCGGCCTCGTCCCCTGGAGTGCACGCCAAAAGCGAGTGCTCCCGCGCGGCTCGGACGCTGAGTGCACTGTTGTTGCTGGCCGCGCTCCTGGGCGCCTGCGCTGGCTTGGCTATGTCCAGGGAGTTCTACAACTTCGCCGACACTTACGCCAGGCCCAGATTCATCAATTTCTGTTTCAAGTTTTTATGGCTTGGATATGTATCTGGGGCGTGGGCAGCCGCGTGGAGGTTCCTGGACTTCGACGCTACGCTGGGCTACCTTGGGGAGGGCCCCCCACTGCCAGGCACGCCTCTGGGCGGCGAGCGCCAGGCGCGGCAGAGGAGCCGTAGCCGGGAGCGCGGCGCATCCTCGCCACCCTTGGACCGTCGTGGAGCCCAAGATGGTCTAGCGACCGTTGCCGGCAGGGCGGGGTCGGTTCCTCCAGGGGGACCCGGCCAGCAGCCAGAGATGGAGGTTGACGAGTTGCGCCGGGGGTCCGCAGGTTGGACTTCGACGAGGCGATGCCGCAGGCGCCGCCGCCGCCGCCGCCGCCGCCGCCGCCGCCGCCGGGGGACAGCTACGACGCTGCTGCGGTCAGCGCTAGAGTGCACTGCCCTGTTGCCGGATGCCCGCGACATGACCGCCGCAGCCGCCCGTGGAGCTCGGTGCAGAACATGCGAGCGCACCTCGAAGGGCATCGGAACGGCACCCTGCAGGGAGCCATTCCGGCAGAGTTTCTTTGGCAGCATCGTCTGGTGCCATGCGCGGGGTGCGCACGGCTCGTGGTCGGCCCTGCCGGCTCGATGCATCCTTCTTGTCGGCGCCTCGCTCGGTCTGCAGCGGGCCCCCCAGGGCAGCCAGCACCTGATCTTGGCCGCCTTCCTGGGCCCGGGGCCGCGGGCTTGCCGCCCCTGGCAGACGTCATGCAGGCAAACGCTCGCACTGTGAAGCGGGTGCCGGGCTCATGCAAGCGTCTGTGGTCCACTGTTCTGATCCGGGCTCTGGCATCAGCAGTTTTCCTGAACGTGGCGCCAGGGGTGCACGCCACCGAAGATGCAATGCAGCGTTCTCGCGATGCTTGGGCCGAGCTCCTGATGCTTCCCAAATGTGCGTTACCAACCACAACGAGATCTGGCAAGAAGCACAAACACTTACAGGATAGGCTCATCAGAACCCGGTTGCAGCAGTGGGCAGACGGTGACCGTTTGGAGTTGTGGCGCACCCGTACAGTTGCCAAATCATCTCAGTCCACGGCTGCGTCGGAGGAGCAACGGAGGCGCCGAGCCATCGCTTTAGCCGAGGAAGGCCTTGACGGGCAGACGTGCCGGGCGTCGCTTTCTAAGGGGATGTCTGACACAAGCTCAACGACGTTGAGAACCTTGGAGCGGAAGCACCCTCAAGGAGCCGAGGGGCGCGATCTCAGAATCCCGCAGGGCCTGGACGGGCCGCAGGAGGATGCTTCAGACAAGGATGTTTTGGCTGCTTTGAGAACCTTTCCCAAGTGCTCCGCGAGCGGGCCTTCTGGGCTGAAGGCGCAGCACTTTCTTGATGCCGTCGCCAGCCCTGACCAGGCTTCATGCCTTGAGGCGCTGACGGACACTGTCAACCTGTTTGCGCGTGGGCAGGCCGCTCAACATTTGTCACAAGATGTTGCTGGCGCCTCGCTGACCGCGTTGCCCAAAGATGACGGCGACATTCGGCCAATCGCGGCGGGGGAGGTCCTCCGCAGACATACAGCAAGGTTCTGTGTGCGGGTGCCAAGGACGAAGCGCGACGCCTGCTCTGGCCTTTGCAAGTCGGGGTGGCCAGTCCACTGGGGGCGGAGACCCTTGTCCACACCATTCAGCAGTACGTTAGGCGTCACCGGCACTCTCCAAGCAGATCCGCCCTCCTGATTGATTTCTGGAGCGCCTTCAACAGCGTGCAGCGGCCGGTGTTCTTGGACGAGGTCGGGGAGCAGATGCCTAGTCTGGAGGCTTGGGCCAGGTGGTGCTATGGTGGCCCTTCGGACCTGCTGTTTGGCAGCCACGTGATGCCGTCCACCCGAGGAGTTCAGCAGGGAGATGCGCTGGGACCTCTCCTGTTTTCATTGGCTGTTCACCCTCTCCTGCAGGAGCTGAAAAGCGATCCTGCTTTAGACATCGTCTGCGGTTACCTCGACGACTTCTGCGTGGCTGGCGATTCCGCCGCGACGCTGCGGGCCTTGCTGCTGATTCAGGAAAGGGCGGCAAGTCTAGGCCTCGAGCTAAACTTGGAGAAGTGCGAGGTCATCCCCACGGCCGGGCGCAACACGCAATGCGACCTGTCTGTGTTCCCTGCCGGTGTCCAGCGGAAAGCCGACGGTTGCTTCAAATTGCTAGGCGCTCCTATCGGTGGCCATGAGCACTGTGCAGAGCTTGTGCAGGTGAAGAGAGTGCAGAAGCTGACTACGATGCTCGACGAGGTGCCCTTGTTGGAGGATGCCCAGGTTGCCCACAAGTTGCTGTCTCGATGTTTCGGAGCCTGTAGACTTATGCATAACATGCGGACCACGCGACCTGACTGGATAACGCGCGGTCTGGAACAGTGCCAGCAGGCCCTCAGGTCGACATTCCAGATCTGCACGGGCACAGCGTTGACCGACAGCCAATGGCAGCAGGCGTCACTCCCCCTGAGCAAGGGAGGGCTTGGATCCCGGTGCGGCACTTCACACGCTGCTGCGGCCTACCTTGCATCCCGCATGGCGACGCGGCACTTGCGCGGTCAGATCGATGCTGCCTTCTCTTGGGACGGGGACTGCGAGGGCGGTGCCCTGGCAGCAGCAGTCAACCTGTACAATGCTGGCGCCCGCCATGATCATCACCTTACAGGCGAGGATTTGACGTCTGATGGCTCCTTTCCTGGCCAGCGTGCTCTGTCGATGAAAGTGGACGAAAAGCTTTTGGACCAGCTGATCGCTGCAAGCCCAGACGCCCACAAGGCGAGGCTCCTCGCGACTAGCGCGCCTCACGCGAGCGCATGGCTGCAGGCCCAACCATGCAGCGCTCTCGGGCAGCGCATGTCCCACTACGAATTTGTGGCGGCCTTGCGCTTGTGGTTGGGCTGCCCTGCTTCGAGCAGGGACGACTGGTGCCCGAAATGCGACCAGGTGATGGACGCGCAGAGCCTGCACTCGCTCTGCTGCATGGCGGGTGGCGATGCGTCAAGGTGCACAACGCTCTGCGTGACCAGGTCCACTCCTCTGCGCATGCCGCGGGCCTCCGCGCCGAGAAAGAGGAGAGCGGACTGTTGCCAGATGACCCCCGCCGGCGGCCAGGAGACATCCACTTTCGGGGGCCTTGAGACGGGGGTCAATGCAAACGGGGGTCAGCCAGGGCGCCAGATCCTGCAGGATCTTGCAAAGGCCCCCTCTGGCTGACCCGGGTCAGGGAGCCGCTCGTGGCCGCAAGGCGGCCGCGCGTATTGGCTGACCCGGGTTTGCGAGGATCTGCGATACAGTTTTTTTTCCTGCATTGCAGTTTTTGGTTTCCTGCTGACCCGGGTCTGGATTGACCCGGGTCAGAAGGTCCCCGACACTTTCCGACTTGGCCGCTCGGTCCGCCCGTGGCCCTCGACTTTGCCGTGACGTCGCCTCTCAGGCAGTCCGCGGTGCAAGGAGCCGCCGCCAGACAGCTGAGCGCTGCTACGTCGTACGAGGCAGCAGAGCTTGCAGACAGTGATACTGTTTTACGCTGTGAGCAATTAGGCATCCGCCTCGTCCCTATGGTCGCGGAGTCCTTCGGCGGATGGGGCGCGATGGCACAAGACGTGTTCCGAAGCCTGATTCATGCCCGCGCAGCGCGCAGTGGCGAGACGGTGAGCCATGTCACCACTTCCTTATATTTTGTCCTTAGCATCACGTTGATGCGTGCGAATGCACGCGCTCTGCTGGCCAGAATCCCTCAGGAAGCCGGCGCGCATGCTGATCAACTCAGCCGCGCTGCGACCTTGTTGCAGGCGGGGCGTTTAAAGGAGGATGGCGACCAGAGAGGTTGAGGATGTCCCTTTTGGTTCCCCTCGCCCCTCCTCCTCCCCCTCCTCCTCCTCCTCCTCCGCCTCCTCTCCTCCTCCTCCTCCTCCTCCTCCTCCTCCTCCGCCCAATAGGCGAGGTCTGTCGTAACCAGCCCACCCTGGGAAAAGCGGCCGAAGTGTCGCAACCCTGGTTTTGCCGAGGCCGCCCTCCGCCTCGTCTTATTCCTCCACTGCCCCGTGGGATGTTTAGGCAGTCCCTGTCGTAACGGCGCGTTCCTGGGAAATGCGGCCGAATTGTCGCAACCCCGGTTGCGGGCCAGAATAGGAAGCTTCGGTCGTAACGGCGCGCTGGTGCAGG